TTGTTTGGTGGGCTCTGGCTGGATTCAAACCCGCCACCTTAGGTGTATGTGGCTGGTGCCTTAGCCGCTGGAACCACAGGCGCTGAGCCGGGTTTTCATTTTTTTAATGAATTAGGATTTCCCTCTCACTCAGACAAATCTTGAAACTCCTGAACTCAAGCAGTTCTTCTGCCTGAGCCTCCCACAGTGCTGGGATTATGGGCATGAGCTACCACGCCCAGCTCAACTTTGCTTTTTTTTAAAAAAGATACCTTTTATTAACAATTTTCATTTTTTGTTTGTTTACTTTTAGAGATAGAGTCTCTGTTGCCAAGGTTAGAGTGCCATGGGGCAGCTTAGCTCATGCCAACCTCAGACTCCTGGGTTCAAGGGATCTCCTGCTTCAGCCTCCCAAGTAGCTGGGACAAAAGGGGCCAGCCCCAATGCCCTGCTAATTTTTAAAATTTTTTTAATGGAGACAGGGTCTCATTCTTGCTCAGGCTGGTGTTTAACTCTTGACCTCAAGTGATCTTCCCACCTTGGCCTCCTGGAGTGTTAGGATTATAGGCAAGAGTCAACGGGTTGCTTGGCTTTGTGATTTGTTTAAGCAGAATTGTACAGTAGCAGTTTCAAAGGGACAGGTAGAAAATGGTAAAGGGGCAAGTAGAAGACAATGGAATAGTTGGGTCTTAGTGTGAATTATGTCACTAAAAGCCACATCTATCAACTAGTGTATAATAGATATTTCTTTTCTTTTTTTTTGAGATAGAGTCATTTTGTCACCTTCAGTAGAGTGCTGTAGTGTCACAGTTCACAGCAACCTCCAGCTCTTGGGCTTAGGCGAATCTCTTGCCTCAGTCTCCTGAGTAGCTGGGGCTACAGGCACCCGCCCCAATGCCTGGCTATTGCTCTGTTGCAGTTTGGCTGGAGCTGGGTTTGAACCAGCCACCCCTTGGTATATAGGGCTGGCACTCTACTCACTGAGCCACAGGCGCTGCCGAGATATTTCTTAAGCTATTTTAAAACCTTAAAAGTTCGCATACCTGTTGAACTTGTATTTCTTGTTGACTCTACAAAGGTAGAGTTTATCAAGAGCATGATATAGCTTATGTTCAAAGTGCTTAAACTGAAATAAAAAGTGAACAACCAGTACTCTTTCTAAAAATCTTTATAAATGAAGAATAAACACCACTACTCATTCTTAAAGGCAATACTTTAAGAGAACATAATTATGATTTAATTATACTTATTGTAATTTTTTTTAGAATTTCATGACGTCCATTTGCAACAGTCTTTTTGAAGCATTGTTTCCTGGATCTTCTTATTCAACGAGATTTTCAGCTTTAACTATTTTAGTCTCAATAGCTGAAGTTTTTCCTGTCCTAGAAGGTAAGGTTTTCAGTATTTGGGGATAGTTATCATTTTCTTTCATGACATATACTTTTAAAAACATTTTGCTGCTATACTTGAGGTTTCAGTTTGTTGTCTTTTCTTTAGATTCTCTTTTTTTTGCAATTTTGGCCAGGGTCAGATTTGAATTGGCCACCCCTGGTATATGGGGCTGGCGCCCTACTCCTTGAGCCACAGGTGCCACCTCTTTTCTTTAGATTCTTATGGAATGTTTTATTCTTAGCATGTAATTCTTTTTTTTGTTTTGTTTTTTGAGACAGAGTCCCACTACGTCGCCCTCAATAGAGTATTGTGTCACAGCTTCCGGCAACCTCCAACTCTTGGGCTAAGCGATTCTCTTGCCTCAACCTCCCAAGTAACTGGGACTACAGGCGCCCACCACAACGCCTGGCTATTTTTTTTTTGCTGTAGTTGTCGTTGTTTTAGCTGGCCCGCGCTGTGTTTGAACTCACCAACTTTGGTGTATGTGGCTGGCGCCATAACCACTGTATTGAGGGTGCTGAGCCAGCATGTAATTCTTATAATTAAATTTACCAGTAAAGGACGGAAGGGAAAGAACCTGTCTCCTGTTGATCATTATTTGGCAAACTCAAAGTACAGTTTTTTTGTATTATGCTTAGTATGGAAAAGAGTTCCTGTTCTCACTTCCCTAATTGTTGCTGTTTTAAAATGGTGCCCAATCTTTTCTTAAATTAAAAAAATTAAAATAATAGTTTCTCTTAAATTAATATTCCTCAGTGAGTCCTTGTGGTAAACTTATATGTGTCTGTTTCATAAGCCCTGGTCTGTTCAGAAAGACAGTATGTAGATGTCATTTCCAAGTATTCTGGCTTAATGATACTTTGTTTTTCCTTGTGTGGGTTGCTCAAGAAGATGAACCTTTAACTTCTGTCTTTGAGTTGTTCTTTTTTTCTTTCTTTTTTGACAAGAAATGGTTCCTTTTATCTCTGTATGTGAGTTTTGATGTGGGATTTCTTGCTTGTGCTCCGTCTTCCATGACTGTGGTCAAAGAAGAAAATGTCCTGCTTGGCTGCTCTTTTACAGGGAATGGCAAAAGGACCAGGGAGCTTCACACTATCATTGTCTTCTTTTTCATTTTAAATTATTGGGCAGAATAAAAGTTTTTGGCAGGAAGGAATAGTTAGTTGATGTTAATATAAGCTTGCTTCATTTGAGGAAAATCAGTTTTTCAAGTTTTTATTTTGTCATTGTAATTATGTTAATTAACCCCCTGAGAGGTAACACTAATGGGGATAGCTCTACTACACTCATTACTTTTCAAGGAGGCTGAAGTGCAGTACCAGATGGAAAATGTAACTTCATCCTCCATCTTCATCTCAAGAAATTTAATGTGGGTATTTTATATTTTATAGAAGATCTGTGATTTGGGCTTAGTCAAATGGTTTCTGTCTTTCCTCATGTGTATCCTAGACCCAGAAGAACATACCATACACGTATTTCTTTTTTTTAGAGACAGAGTCTCATTTTGTTGCCCTCGGTAGAGTGTCGTGGTGTTATAGCTCACAGTGACCTCCAGCTCTTGGGCATAGGCGATTCTCTTGCCTCAAGTAGCTCCCAAGCTAGCTGGGACTACAGGTGCCTGCCACAACGCCCAGCTATTTTTTTGCTGTGGTTTGGTCAGGGCTGGGTTCGAACCCTCTACCCTCTGTATATGGGGCTGGTGCCCCACTCACTGAGCCATAGGCGCTGCACCCATACACATATTTCTTTTTTCTTTTTTTTTTTTTGCAGTTTTTGGCCAGGGCTGGGCCTGAACCCGCCACCTCCAGCATATGGGGCCGGCGCCCCACTCCTTTGAGCCACAGGCGCTGCCCCCCATACACATATTTCTTATGTGGAATCAAATGTCACAGTATTCATGGTGAAAAGTTAGATTCTGTAGACTTTGTTCAGCAAATATTAATTCAGTGCTTCTTATATGTCAAACAGCCAAGGATATTCAGTGTTCAAAACAAAGTATCCCCTCTTTTGGAGCTTACATTTTACTGAAGGGGAATATATTAATTAAAAAGTCATGTGCAGAATTTCAGCTGTAGGTAAGTTTCATGAAAAACTATTTCAAGGCTCTGTGCCTGTGGCTCAAGTGGCTAAGGCGGCAGCCACATATACCTAAGGTAGCGGGTTCAAATCCAGACTGGACCTGCCAAACAACAATGATG